TAAAATCCATTCATTTTTAGTGACCGGTTGCACTATACACGGGTAGATTTTTTTCTGGAGGCGTTTAAGATTCATAGATTGCAATATACACGGGGTCGGCTTATACACAAGTATATACGGTATATAGAAAAAAAAAGAATGACATTTTGCAGGAAAAATGTTTTGTTTTTGTTTGTTTACAGTAAGGTTCACCGTGTACAACGACCGGGACCACTAGGATAGGGGGGGAGATATTGGTTAACTCTTGACTTGAACAGATTAGGATTGTAGTGATCGGGGAAACGTCTTCTTAGCAGTCTGTTCCACAGGGAAGTGGTCCATGGTAAGAAGCTGTTTGAGTGGAACCTACTTCACACCGATGGAATACGGATGGAATGGGGGTGGTTTGCTACAATGTATGTGGCATGGCGGGTCCTTGCCGTGAAGGTTGGACCTGGCGTAACCAAGGGATGTACTCCGTCCGAGTATTTTCCATGGCAGTAGCGATAGAACAGTGAGAGACTCGCCGCATCCCGCCTGTGAAATAGAATATTCCTTAGTAGTCGGTATTTACTTGACACTGAGTCAGGTTGTGACACAAGGTTAGTTTTTAACGTGGGAACCCGAGTGTTTTCACTCGGGCCGCTGGTCTAAGCTGGTCATAGCTTTTCCAAGCTGGTCTAAGCTAGTCATAGCTGGTCTAAGCTGGTCATGGCTTGTCCAAGCTGGTCATAGCTGGTCTAAGCTAGTCTTGGCTTGTCATAGCTGGCCCAGGCCAGAGCCGGTCCAAGCTCGTCGTAGCCGTGATACCACTAGCAACAAGGCCGGAGCACAAGTACCAGGTAAGTATATTCCTTAGTAGTCAGTGTACATATACTGTATATTTTGCTGGCAGTAGATACTAAATGTAAATACATGATGTTATAATTAAATTTTTATTTTTATCCTTTTTTCATTTTAAGAAATTAGTTGATATTTTTAAATAGATTTCTGCCCACTTTACGCATTAACATAGAGCTTAAAAGTGCAATAGAGCCCTGCATGTAGTTCAATATATTAAGAGCAATCGCCTGTATTCACTCGATGATTGTGTGCATCTGCCAATAATTGTTTCTGCATCCAATTCATCTAACAATTCTTTTTTTCAATGGATAGTAATATGTGCGATTCCAAATTCTTCTCAGATATCGAATTTCTTAACTTCGACTTTATATTCTTTAGCTTTGAAAATGTTCCCTCACATTGAACTTCAGTGACTGATAGTGTGCAGATGTCCGTAATAAAGTTGTTATTCTTTTTTGTTACTAAAACAATTCTCTGTTTTTGTTTCTTTATTGCATTTTATTTGATATAGAGGCCACTATATCAGGGACCCACTTGCCATCAGACAAGCTGATACCCTGGCCGGTCTTCCACTGGCTGGAGTCAATTATATATATATATATATATATATATATATATATATATATATATATATATATATATATAACCTCATTACCTATATTAATTATAATTTATAAACTTCCCCTGCTCTAATATCTCCCCAATTCTCTTTCCATTAATCCCTTACATCCTTTTATCTATATATTTTAATTTTATTTTAGACCCCTTTTTATTCATCTTTTAATTTAAATTAAAATTTAATTCTTCATATAACCCGATATTAATGTCATAAGGTTAATATTCGGGTTTAATTTTATAGAACTTCTTCCCTTTAATACCTCCCATCCTCCCCTGTTCCTCTGCCTCGCGCCTTTCGTCTGACTGAAACATTTAAATGCAGAAATTCTGTATTAGTCTTTCGACAGGCCGTTTTTTTTTAGCTTTCACAATAAAATTCTCCTTCCTGCACCTCCTTAACTGTATAGATACGAACACAGTCCACGCCGGCGTTGATATGACAGACGACCGATATCTTCGTCTGCCGAAATAGGCTGTTCCTCATATGAGTCAATTTAGATTTTATTGCTTATATATATATATATATATATATATATATATATATAATTAATACACGTATAAAGTATGCTACTTAGCATCCCGACCCTCCAGGAATCACTCCGTCCATTCGTCAAGGGCTATCTGAAATTGAGTGTTTATACTTCTTGATTTTTTTTTCATTGGCACAGGGTTGATTTTTTGTCGTGGTGTATGTGTGCGTTTGTGTGTCCGTTTGCGCACCCGTCTGTGTGTATGCGCGTACGTGTAAAGTGACGTTGTTATTTGCTTTTTCTTCGATGTTTTCATTTTACAATAATTCATTGTTTCTTTTTACTTTTCTCTTTTTTTCGCTTTTCTTTCAGTTGTAGCGATTAAGAATTCCGGTTTTTCAGACATTCACAGTTTTTGTTAATTCTAGAGTCGTCTCTTGTTTTCTCGTAATTCATTTTTGCACACACACACACACACAGAGACACACACACACATATATATATATATATATATGTTAATGCTTAAATGATAAGATAAATATTTATATATGTCTTCATTCGGCCATTATTTTGTTTTCTTATTTAATTTGGTAGTATCTTAAGTATTAGATTATTAATTGTTATATGACGGTATAAAATACAAGAAATGAAAATGCATTAATTTGTTAGTTGAATAATGACTACACTTAGTGCTATTGTATTTTAACCTCCTGTCATTTCTATTTGGCTGATGAGTGATGTCTGGAGTGCTTGATTTGTGAAGTCAAAAAGAATTTTTGTATATGAAATATTTTACTGCTTAAGTAACAATGTTTTTATTCCAATATTAATCGGATATAAATAGATTCACAACAAATAAATAGTTTCCAATACGTACCAAGAACAGTTTGTTTTTTGCATAACTGGAAACGAAAAGAACAAAGGTCACATAACTTTAAACGAACCCAGTAAAGTTCTTCTTCTTCTGTACCATGTCCCTTTAGGACCTAGGCGATCATGGCCCTCCACATTTTCTTCTCTCTTGTAGCTCTTAATAAGTTTTTCTTTCTATTCTCCCAAATCCTGTTCTACAATATATTTATTCAAGCTCATCAACTATGTTATGCACTGCTTTCCTCTCTCCATTTTCCCCGCAATATGTGCTCTGAGTATCAGGCCTTCTTTCCTCATTTCGTACCGCAGAAATGTCAACTGCCTCTTTCCTTTTTGTCTGCAGTTTCTCCAAAATCTCGTCGTTATTCAATGTTCTCTCCTCAGCATCCTTCTGTAGAGCCACATTTCTGTTGCTTCACGTTTCTTCTTCATCTTTGAGGAGATTGTCCAGCATTCGCTGCCATACAGGAAGACAGGTATCACGCAACAGTTCAATACTCTTTTCTTTGTTTCTAACGAAATTTTCCTGTCTCTTAATACTCTGCTTAGCTTTTGGAATGTATCTTTAACTATCCAAATGCGTCTTCGGATCTCAGTGTCGTAAATTCCGTCCTCTGTTAGAATACTTTCCAGATATTTACAATTTGCTCTTGTTTAATTTTGGTATTTCCGATTAATCTCTATCTATAAAAGGCAGGATGTGTGTGTGTGTGTGTGTGTGTGTGTGTGTGTGTGTGTGTGTGTGTGTGTGTGTGTGTGTGTGTGTGTGTAACGAATGCACGGCCGCAATTTTCGACGGATTTGCACCAAAATTTACATGCACATGCTCCAAGTTAGCGAAAAGGCCAAGACCGACTTTGAATTTCCCAACTCCAATCGATAGTGGAAATAATCGATTTTTCATGCTTCTACGGCAGTTTTCATGTAGTTTGCAGCCATTTTCTACTGGCCAGAATGAGGGCCTATAGCTGGCCGCCACGAATAGGCAGGAAGATTCTATTGGCCAGCGTGACAGCCAACAGCTGACTGACACTAATGTTAACTAGCATGCTAGCATGCAAAAAAAAAAACAAAAAAAAACGATAGCTGCATTCGTCACAAGTGGGAAAAATTTAAATCTGCATGGCACTTTACTCCAATTGGCTCATTCGCTTGCTTAAACTCAACGTTGATTTTGATTCCGCAGAACTGAGTTGGGTGTGAAAAAGTATTTGTTGTTAACATTCTTTTTTCATTCGGTTTTTCCAGTTACGAGTCTTTTTTTAAAGCTGATCGTTTTGTGTTCATTTTGTTTAGTTCTTTTTTCGTAACAGATTTAATGTTTAGTATAGAGCTTAGAAAAAATTCGCAGTGTGAGATAGGCAAGAAGTAAGGCATGTAGCAACATCAGCATGCCAAAGACCACTCCTTTAAAGGCAAGGAAGGGCAAAAATATTTTAAGTCAAGTGATAGCGATTGCTGTATGAGTCGTACGATTTTTGAATCATGCTGCTAGTAATATTTATTTTGGATGCATCCTTTTGGCTGACAACCATGCATTTTGTCTTTTTGTAGTTTATACTTGGTCCTTTCTTCTCACGTTTCTTCGCTAAATTCGGTAGAAACTTCTGTAGTTTCCTTTCTGTATCTGCTATCAACACTGTGTCATCTGCATATCTTATGTTGTTAAGATTGTGGCCGCCAATAATTACCTCGCTGTATAGGTTGAATAAGTCCGATAAGAAGACATATTCTTGTCTTACACTCCTTTCTACTTTTGTATATCTGCTGAACTCATTTTCTCTCCGTATCCAGGTGGTTTGTTGCCAGTATAGGTTCTTGATTACCCTAATAACCTTCCAGGATATGTCAAGGTCTCGGTAAAGTACAAACTCCCTATAAGCTTGCGAGATGATACCAACAGCAAAGTTTAGCTTTCTAGCTTTCATCTCTAGATGGAAAGGATTTAACAGAAGCTGAGTATTTGTCTCGAACTTTGGAACCAGAAAATGAACCCATAACAATCACAGCCAGCCAACATGACATAGATGTGACGATAATTACTTTTCTTTTTTTTTTCTTTTTCCTTTATTTTTTCTCTTTCTCCTTTACCTTTCTTTTTTTTTTTTATCTCTGACCTTTCTCCTTTTCTTTCATTTCCTCGATTTTCTTTCTTTCCACATTTCTGTTTGTTTTTTCCCTCTTTCTCTTTACCTTATTTCTTTCTCTAATGCTGTAATGTTCTCTCTACGCTTTCTTTCTTTCGTTCTTTCTTTCTTTCTTTCTTTCTTTCTTTCGTTCTTTCTTTCTTTCGTTCTTTCTTTCTTTCTTTCGTTCTTTCTTTCTTTCTTTCTTCTGTAATTTCATTTCATTCTTTATCATTTTTCTTTTCTTTCATTCAGACAATTGTCACCTGCTTTATTTCTATTTTTTATCAATTTCAAAGATACAGTTATTTTCATACTTTCTTTGTCGATTCATTCATTCATTCATTCATTCATTCATTCTTTTCTTTCGAAATATTTTCTTTATTATTGTCTGTTTTCTATTTTTCTTCCTGTTCTCTTCTATTATTCAGTAATTTTTTGTTGTTTTCTTTCCTTCGTTCTCTCTTTCTTTCTTTCTTTCTTTCTTTCTTTCTTTCTTTCTTTTATGCCGTAATGTTTTCGTTATTATTGTCATTTTTCTATTCTTTTCTCTCCTCACCTCTCTTTTAGTGAATTTTCTTTCTTTCTTTCTTTCTTTCTTTCTTTCTTTCTTTCTTTCTTTCTTTTTTTCTTTCTTTCTTTCTTTCTTTTATGCCGTAATGTTTTCGTTATTATTGTCATTTTTTCTATTCTTTTCTCCTCACCTCTCTTTTTAGTGAATTTTCTTTCTTTCTTTCTTTCTTTCTTTCTTTCTTTTTCTTTCTTTCTTTTATGCCGTAATGTTTTCATTATTATTGTCATTTTTTCTATTCTTTTCTCTCCTCACCTCTCTTTTAGTGAATTTTCTTTCTTTCTTTCTTTCTTTCTTTCTTTCTTTCTTTCTTTCTTTCTTTCTTTTATGCCGTAATGTTTTCGTTATTATTGTCATTTTTCTATTCTTTTCTCTCCTCACCTCTCTTTTAGTGAATTTTCTTTCTTTCTTTCTTTCTTTCTTAATGATTTTCTTTAATATTCCCTTTTTCTATTCTTTTTTCTCTACTCCCTTTTCGCGATTTTTTTCTTTCCCTTTCTTTCATTCATTCTTTCATTTATTCGTTTTTTCTTTCTTTCATGCCATAATGTTTTTCATTATCATTGGTTTTTTTTTTCATTTCATTTTTCTTTTCGCCTCTCTTTATTGAGGTTTCTTTCTTTCTTTCTTTCTTTCTTTCTTTCTTTCTTTCTTTCTTTGACCTAATCTTTCCGTTCCATTTTCTAATTCGTATTCCCTTCATCTTAGTTCATTAACATCTTTTATTCTGTCTTTTCTCTTTCTTTTTCACAATCTTCCTACTGAATTCCCCTTATCGAATTTTTCCCTGTCCTTTTCTCGTGTTTCGATTTCGCGTAGTAATTCTTTCTCCGTCTCATCTGATCCCAGTTCATATTGCGCCTCGGAAAACTCACAGCAGGCAAGACCGAACGCGAAATGTCAAGGAATTTTCAAACCTGAAAATTTCCCATCACGCTTCAGTGCTTGGACATGGCCGCGGCTGGCGGATAACATCGTCGAATCCCGACAGAAGCCGATGTGACCCGAGCGATCCCGACATAACCCGTCCGATAGCAAACAACGACGTACAAAGCTAAATTAGAATAGAGAACTGTGAGTAAACAGCAGTCAAATAATATTGTCCGCGGTGATTTAATGAACTGTATAGAAAATATTAACAGAAAGTTAGGAAGGAAAGTTAGAAGATAAAGAGGAAAAGACAAGAAGAGATTTAGACGAAGAGAGAATGAAAATAAAAAATACATTGAAAAATGAGAAGAAAAAAAAGAATTAGAAAAAATGAAGAGAAAAGCAAAAGCAGGAACGAGAGAAAAGAAAAAGAAATAAGCAACGAAAAGAAAAAGAAAAATAGACAAAAAGAGACAAAATAAAAAAGAAGGGAATAAAGAAAAGAAACAGGGTAATAAAAAGAAAGATAGAAAAAGCAATTAAACAGCGAAAAGAAAAATAAAAGGAGGAAAGAAAAAAGTGAAGGAAAAAGAATGAAACAGAGAAGAAGAAAACAGATAAAAGATAAAAAAGTAGAGAAAAAAAATGAAAGAAAAAGAGTGAAGTAAAAGAAAGGAACATCGAGAAGGAATAGTACACAATTAGAGAAAACAAAAAAGTAAAGAGAGAAAAGAAAAAGAAGGAAAAACAGAAAAGAAAAATAAAGAAACGGATGAAAAGAAAATGGTGGAATAAAAACAGAGAAAAGAAAAAGAGCCTAATGAAGAAAAGAATGAGAAGAAAAAACAAAAAGAGAAAGAAAGAAAAAGACAAAAGAAAAGAGTAAACTTAATATTAAATACATTGCAATAAATAGATATATATATTAAATATTGGTCAGATCATCTACCGTTAGAAAAATCGAGAATAAAATTATTGCGAGATATGTCCATTCATTGGCTCGTCAACTTCTGCCGTGTAATCATTACGTATAGACTGATCAGCATTCCAACACCGTGTTAGTAAACGGAAGTGGTTGGTAGGTAAATCAAGATATATTTGTAACAGATTTTCTTGAGAAATTACGTTTTTACGATTTATTTCTATTAAA